ATTTCGCGCAATTTTTAAACGGTGACTAATCTACAAGCTGTTGGCGCCATCTAGCGTCGCGTAGCTGAAGTACAGTGCGCGAAACCAGGGCGGAAGAAGCAAATAAATGCGCTTTAGAGATGAGCCAACAAATAATTAAAATTAACAAATAAATGTATATCATAAGACAGAGACAGACATGAGAGAGTTGTAAATATTATATTAATGTTGTAAAATAAATTACATATACTTTTTTGTAATATTAAAAACTTTCTTGTTATTATGACTTAATTATATTATTAGTAAAATTTATTAATATTAATTGCATTTAGTTGTAAATTATTAAACTGCCCAAGCTAAGCAAGCACATTTTTTGAATTCATTTGTATATGCTTGAATATTCTTTTTTTTTTTATTTCATTGCTGTCCTCAGTCGATACGTTCGATATATCGCAAACGCTGCCATCGCTAGAAAGTAGCCTGGTATCTATGAAATACGTGGTTAATTTGTTTGCAAAAAGCCCACGAGCAGGCCTAAAATGTATCAGCTGGGCACTGTGTATAAAACTACTGTGAAACAGAAACGGGCCCACAACTAATACCGAGGCCCAGCGAAACAATGGTTATTAACGTGGCATACTCGATATATTGAAATCCCAAATAAAACTGTAATATTTTGTTACCTTAGGCCATGGCAACAGGCAAAGCTACGGAAGAGGAGCAACTAGAACAACAGCAGCAGCAGCAGCAACAGCAAACGCAACAGAAACAGTTAACTCTTCAGTCAAGAATTCGCTTTGCCTTGTTCTTCATTGCCGGCTGCTTGGCAGCATTTGGCTTCCATGCGCTGACATCGTCGTCGGGCTCGCTGCTGGGCTGGCGACTGAGACTGCATCATCTGCCAACGGCTCACTATTTGCAGACGCGCGATGAGTTCGCCGTTTACTCGGTGGATGAGCTGAATGCATTTAAAGAGTTCTACGATAAGAGCGTGAGTGATAGCGTCGGTGCTAGCTTATCGGAGGCGGAGGAGACTAATATAAAAGAGGCAATGGGTGCACTGCGACTCGCCCAGGAGATGTATATGACGGGCAAGGATGACAAGGCGGCGCGTCTCTTTGAGCATGCCCTTGCCCTCGCGCCCAAGCATCCGGAAGTGCTGCTACGCTACGGCGAATTTCTCGAACACAATCAACGAAATATTGTGCTGGCAGATCAATATTACTTCCAGGCGCTCAGCATTAATCCAAGTAATACTGAAGCGCTGGCCAATCGCCAGCGCACAGCGGATGTGGTGCAGTTACTGGACGAGCGTCGGCTCAGCTCGCTGGATGAGAAACGGGATGCCCTGTCGGCCATACACGAGACAAACTCTGCATTGAGACGAGCCAAGAAGGAGGCTTACTTCCAGCATATATATCATTCAGTTGGCATTGAGGGCAACACAATGACTCTGGCACAGACGCGCTCTGTGCTGGAAACCCGAATGGCTGTCGATGGGAAATCCATTGACGAACACAACGAAATTCTGGGCATGGACTTAGCCATGAAATATATCAATGCAAGCTTAGTGCAGAAGTAAGTCGTGCAAATGGACATGCCTAGCCCACGAATAATACTTATGCATCATCTTATCTGCATCATCTTCCATTACAGATTATATATCACACTGAAGGACATCTTGGAGCTGCATCGCCGGGTGCTGGGCCATGTGGATCCCATCGAAGGCGGTGAGTTTCGTCGCAATCAGGTCTATGTTGGTGGTCATGTGCCGCCAGGTCCAGGCGATTTGGCCATACTGATGCAACGATTCGAGCATTGGCTCAACTCGGAGCACAGCAATTCGCTACATCCGGTCAAGTGAGTGAAACTACTAATAATCCTGACAAGCTTCTAGCAGTTAATCTTCCAATTCCCCACACAGCTATGCTGCGCTGGCCCACTACAAACTGGTGCACATCCATCCGTTTGTGGACGGCAACGGACGCACCTCGCGCCTGCTAATGAACACGTTGCTAATGCGCGCCGGCTATCCGCCGGTGATCATACCCAAACAGCAGCGGAGCCAGTACTATCATTTTCTTAAGCTGGCCAATGAGGGCGACATACGGCCCTTTATCCGTTTCATAGCCGACTGCACCGAGAAGACGCTAGACTTGTATTTGTGGGCCACCAGCGATCTGCCGCAGCAAATTCCTATGCTCATTCAGACAGAGAGCGATGGCAATGTATTGGCCCAACTGCAGTCGCACACTCTGCACACTAGTTCACCGGAACTATACGAAAGTGGTTCCGGCTCAGGTGCCGGTGCTGGTGCCAGTTCAGGACAGAAGGGAATGCCCTGACACTCCTTTCCAGTGCTAAAGCTAATTGAATGGCTGCTCAAGACCCTTAGTAAATTATATGTTGTAAATTGTGTGTATTTAGCATAAAATTTGTGGATAACTGTAACTTGTTCAACAACAACAACAATAACGCCGTTTGTCAGACTGTGATCGTATTTAAGCTAAAAGATCTAACCAAAAAAATATCAACAAAATGCTTTATAGTTAGCATAATTAGAACGAATGCACAAAAGCAAAAATGCATAAAATAGAAAATATACATATAAGTGAAATAAGTTTTTAATATCTTTTCCATATAAATAACTGGAAGTCTGTTTAATTGCAAGTCTGGAACTCTGTTTAATTGCAATTGAACAGACTTCCAGTTGAATGTAGTAGATATGTGTGTCTATACATATACATATGTAAGTGTGTTGAAATCGAACAGACTTTCCGTAGAATGTATGCAGTAGATGTGCGCGTATGTATGTGTGCATATGTATATACATACATGAATGTACATATACAAAAGCTTTGAAAAGTAGACAGGACGACCTTTTCAGAATAATTTGATTAAAACATGAATATATAAGTTTAAATATCCATATAATACATTTATTTATTATTATTATTTAAATCTTAATATCTAAGCTTACCTTTCCAATGCATATCCATGTACATTTCTATATACAATATATGTGTACATAATTATATAAATAAAATAATTATATTTATGTTTATTTCTATATATTTAAAAAACGCACTAAATTCACTCAGGAGCTATCACATAAGTTTTTAAAGCTTTCATATTAATATTATCGTTATCTGTCAAATCTACCATTGATTAATTTGTTTTAATAAACGACGCACGCACGTTCACACTTGCACTTGTAAATAGAACTGAATTTTAGGCGGGAGAATGCCGACTCTCTTCCAATGCAACAACATGATTGCTTTCCAAAAAGAATGGCGGAATCGAATTGGAATGGGAAGTCAATCACCATTTTTTTTCTACCCACGCATGAGAAGGAAGTCAAAGACAAATGGAACGAAAAGCAACAACAAATATCAGCTGGATTTTTTTTTATTTTCTTTCTCTGTAGTATTTTGTATTTTGATTGACTCTGCAGAGCATTATTTATGCCAAGTAGTGTAAAGCCGAGTCATCGGGTTGTTGAACAATTTACCATGCTTGATAACGAATTTATTCATTATTTTGGGAATACGAGGGTAGTGCAAAAACCTTGGCATATAAACTAGATCAATTTTGAGGAGACTGTATACTTATTACAATTTTTTTTTCGAAAATTTTCTATTTTTGTTTACAATTGAATCGACTAAGTACCAAATATTATAATTATATGTTATTCTTATTACATTATGTTCTTAGGTAGTGCGAAAAATTTCATAATATTAACAAGATCAAATTATGAGGGTCTTATTAATAACCATAAGCTTACAATTTGTGTATAAATCAGTTTTAAAAAAAATACAAAAATAACAATAAAAAAAAAATAATTATTTATTCCTTTACAATCTTAGCAAAATTATATACATATATAAAAGTGTGATCTATGATCAGCACTATTGCACATTCATATTTGTATTTATATCACGCACGAATAATAAGCTATATATGCTTTATATAAGTTTTACAGTACAAGGCTCAATAGTAAAAGTTTCTGATCGTTTGGAATAATCAATAACAATAAAGGCACTCAATTAAGACTTAGTAAACTATTAAGAGAATAAAATGATAAGAATTCAATCTAGATATTTACAACTTGGCGCGCTCTAGATAGCTCTTATAGGTAACGTCACGCCACCAATACGGACGTTCATAGACACCTGGAGTGGAAACGATTGCACGTTGCAAGTGGTGATAGACCTGTGAAGTGGACAAAAAAAATGATAAGTGAGATATATATTTCTGAGAAGTATTTTATAACGGCTTACATTGCCATCGCTCATGCCCAATGGCGAGTTCAAAATGAAATCTGTGGGCGCAATTGCATCCACCAGAGCAATAGCTTCATTCTTCAGCACCGAAAGTAGACCAAGAATGCCCTGCTGATAGAGCTCAATCTGTGAGCTATTGAGGAAATAGCCACCTTGGTAGAACAGTGCCGAATATTTGATAACCAAATTGGCTCCATAGAAGGAAAGCACCTTCAATAACACCTGCTGCTCGGGCGAGGCTGGCAGATTGGTTACAAACTTGTAGAAGATATAGTAAGAGGTGCGCTATATAGGAAAGATAAGAATTTTAAGACGATAAGCTCTAGGGTAATCTAGAAGGTAAAACCCACCTCTGCATAGATAATGGAAAGCTTTTGTGCGGCAAATACTTGAATATTGTTGCGTGTCTCAAAGGCATCCTTGCCAGCAGACTGCAGTTGCTCGAAGCGCTTGACGGTTGTGTCCAATGACCAAGCGGTCAGCCAGTTAAGCGCCTTCAGCAAATCTGCAAATATATATAACGTATATTGAATATATATATAATTTCATAATAAAGAATGAATTAATTACTATTCACATCCAGAGCCTGGCCGGCGTTTTGCTCCTGTCCCCGTGTTTGCAATATCACGTTCATATCCTTCAAGAATGCGAGCGTCTCCAATGGAGAAGCCTCCACAAAGTTGGCATTGTTGCGACGCAGGCTGATCAGCCAATTGGAGGCCTGCTGAATGAGCGTATTATTTTCACCCTCATACGTGCAATTGGCATCATTATCGTTTCTCAGATCACCCAGGCCGGATGCACGCAGATAGCCATGCCCGCCGCAAGCTTCACGACACTCCTGGATGCCGTCGCGAGCCGCCCAGGTGGCATAGGGCTTCAGGGCCGACGAGATGGCATGGATTTCCATGCCCTCCCTAGACGTATCCTCGCCCATCATGCCCCGCATCATCATGTCCATGTTCTTCTTGCCAATCCACAGGGAGACCACACGCAATGCAATTACCGCTGTCAGATGTGGCATGAGACGATATTGCTGCGACTGATACTCGATCACTGGCCATTCCTCGTTGCTATCAGGTGGTCCGAATTGCCGACGGCTTGCCGAGTAACGTGTAGCAATGCAAACAGCCTTGCTAAGCGCCACATATGTAATTGCCGTAATATTAACACGACCCGTGGACAGAGCGCCTAGAGAGGCGCCCAGACGTTTGCGTTGATCCTTGATGGGACTGGTATAATTGCCCTGCGCATCAATGTCGCCCGTTTTTGACAGCAGATTGGCCTTTGGTATGCGATACTGATTGAACATAACAAAGCTGTAAGATATAATAAATTCGAATATTTAGATTCAACTTAATTATATGAATTCATATTCCACGCACCCATTGTCAATGCCATTGAGTCCGATTTTCTCGCCAAGATCACCTACTGTGACGCCCGGCAGGGGCAACAGTGTTAGCTCATCCCGAATGGGCACCAGGAATGCATTCAAACCCTGATGTTTATCGTCCGGCACATACAGCTGTGCATAGACAATGGCATGGGTGCAGGTCTTGCCCAGATTGCCCACCCAGCACTTGGCCGCCTCAAAGTCAGGCGTGTGTATAATGAACTCCTGCGACTTAACATCGTAGGTGGCTCGTGTGCGCATGCCTATAGATTGATAAAAGAAATTAGATTTTAATCAGATAATCTTATTTAAGTATAATACAATCAAATACCATTTGCATTTGTGCCGTGAGCGATCTCCGTTAGTGCATAGGCGCCCAATATACGATCATCTGATATCTTGGCTATATATTTGCCCAGGCGTCCGGTGCCATTCGTTAGCAGAGTGCTAGGAAACATTCCATTTGAGAGCGAGAACTTGACCGAGAAGCTAAAATCGTAGCTGAATATGGCCTGGCCAAAGGCCAACATCAAATACGGCGTATTCAGGTACTAAAATGAATTGACAATGTAATTTAAATGCAGCCATAATTAAGTTCTGAAATGTTCTCACCTCATTGACATCGAAAAACTTTTGTTCCCACAGCAAATGATGACGCTTGTTGGCCAACTCCCGGGTACGCTCCAGATTGGGCGCTTCCGGTTCACGTTGAAAGTCTGGGTGTTTCTCCATCCATTGCCATATTTTGTGCTATTTTTATTATTTTTAAAGTTAATTGGAGATTAGTAAAGATTAGTCTGACCTCACGCAAGAATTTCGTCCAAGTGTTCAATCAAACACCTTTTAGATAAGAATTTAGATAAGGCAAATATTGCGAATAATACAAATTTACTGAATTGCTTTTGTATTTGTATATATATGATTATTCATATTTTTTTTTTTATTTCTATTTATTTTGCTAAGTGAAGTGCAAAGTCTACGGTAATTCCATTGCTCGAGTTTGAACTCGTATATAGAGAAAATCGTTAAAGATCTTTACCTCAAAATCGGAATATTTGACAAAATATATAAAAAGGAGATATTTTTAATATTTATGTATAAAAATATTAACTGAATTTTAAAACATTCCCTAAGCTAAAACTAAACAAAATGTTGTATTTTAATCAATAGTATGAAACCACTAACTATATGGTTAGTCTTGAAACTTAACTGTCAAGTATGTAATAAATGTAATAATCAATAATCAACAACTTACATTGCACTTTGTACCATAAGCTATTAAAAACGTGTAATAATGTTCCAATTAGAATGATAATAATTAGAATGTTAAATACAATGTTGCCTACTTCTTCTTTTTCTTGTACAAGTGGAATATGTCATTAACAGAGCTCTGTATGAAAGCAGTTTTATTAAACACCAATTCAAACATAACATTATTGCAATGTAACTGATTTAATCCACATTGAACATTGAACTTTGCACGCCAACTCATTTCATTAAATATTACATTAATATATGAAGAAAAAACAGAAAAATTCAGATAGTAGCTTTACACGTTACCTTTAGACGAATGTGGTCTTCGCCCTCCAGCAGTACATTCATGCGTTTATAGCAGAAGCTCGCCTTGTCCCGATACTCCTGGAGTGGACCACTGCGAAAGCTGGGAAAGATCTTCTTGTCCTCGTATATATTGGCAGGCGCTACATTGTCCCTATCGCTGTAAGAATCCACCAGTGATTGGAGTATTCCGCCTAAGTTATTTGAGGACGCTACTGGAACGCTTTCCACAATTTGTTCAGCGACCATTGCGCAGACAACAACAACTGAGCAAAATTTGCAGCTGCAATTATTTGTACTCACTTGGTAATTTTA